TTTCTCCTCATGGGGCTTCTCATCGGAGCTCACAAAGCTGTAGTCTTGACTCAGTGACATTTTCCTCACCTTGGCTGTGTCCATTTGCAGCTGTGACTTTTCAGAAAACACTGATTTTTGGCTGAATCCAAAATTTAGGTATACAAACTCAGTTTTCTGCTCTCTCTTCTCAAGGGAAGGAGGAGCAGGAAGGAAAAAGGACAGGCCAGCAGCGCCCTGCTGGCTCTGTGCTCCAACCTTCTGGTGGGATAGGGGGAGCACACCTTGTTCCTAGCACCACCATGAAGGTGGCATACAAAAGGACGTCAGACTGGGAGAGATTAGTCAAAGAGGGAAATAAGATTACTTTGGGGGTCTTTGTCCTGGTGGGAAGGGATCGGCAGCCAAAGGGCAGCAGGTGGTGGGAGTCTGTAGCCAGAGAGGCTGAGGGAGGTGGAAGGTGGTGGAAAGTGCCTGGTGGGGGTCCTGCAGCGAGGTGGAAGAGGGCAGGGAGCCGCTGGCTGTGTGAGCACGCCTAGGTGTAACACATATTTAGCACTGGAGTGAGTCCAAGTCCGTTATTAATTGCCTACTGAGGGTGAATCAGAAGGATGCAAAAGGCAGCTGTTTGCTGCCAGGATACTGTAGCAATGCTTTTGAAAGCGCGCTTTGATGGCGTGCTGTCTAACTGTTTTGCAGTTGGCGGGATGAACAAGTTTAGTGAAAGGTGCAGCACGTGGAAACTTTTTATAGCCCTTATTTGAAAAACTATAGCCCTTATTTGAAAAACTGTAGCCTCTTCCCTAACTGAGAGAGCGATGGGTTGAGTGCTTGGATGAAGGTGCTGTGCACATCCAGTCGTGTGTGTGAGCAAGGGGTGGAAAAGCCCAGGGGGTGTGGGATTTAAGGGGCCAGGGCTTGGCTTCTGCACTGGGCTTGGGAGGAGAGATTCCACCCAGGCAGGTGATTTTGAGTGGCAGGAGGGGTACCTCAAGGAACCAGCATCGTTTTCACAGATCTCTAACTGCTGTTTCTGGCACCACCACCATTTTGCTAAAGCCACAGTATTTGCCAGGGGCTGTGTCCAAGGCAGCTCACAGTGTGGGGTCAGAGCTTGTTGGTGGGCATCGATTTCATCAGCTATGTCCTTCCTGGGCAGGTTAAATCCTGGACAGGCCCCTCCTGCCCATTAATAGCTGTGGTCAGAGCCAGCTCAGGTGCAGCTGCCTGGAGATACTCCTTCACCTTGTCCCATGCACATCCATCATGCATGTGTCTGAGGATGGGAATTGGTTCTACCTGCCAGCCACCTCAAACCTCCTCTCTGCAGGGATACACACTGGTGTCTTCTGGCAAGGTCCCAGGTTTGGTTTTACATATACATTGCTCTCAGCGAGCACCATGTGAGGGAGGGCAAGGTGCAAGCGGTGTGCCTGCTGCTGTGGCAGAAGGCGCTGGCCGTGGTTCCCATGTCTTGGGGAGTTATTTCCATCATCTGCCATAGGAGACTATTTTTATCTGTGGTAAACAGCCTTAATTCCAGTGCTGTGTGATCCTTGGTACAACCTGCGTGTAGGCCAACAGGTGGGCGCCCACAATCCAGAGACCACGGTCTTGATCTTGGTTCAAATGCCCTTGGGAACTTGGTTTACAAAGCATGTTTGATGTGCTTTTAGTAACTCCTGGTGCTGAAGAGAAATTTTATTAAATGTAAGCATGTTTAGACTTTCTGGCTGCTGAATATCTTGTGCTCAAATATTTTGCTTTTCTCCCGTCCAGTGAAAAGTGATGAAACCTGGATGTGAGAGGCAAGGCTGCCAGCTTCTTGCCAAATGGGGTGATAGAAAGCAGTTCTCCGAAGTATTGCTAAGTGAAAGTTTAGTGTTAGCAAGAAATCCTGTGTCGAACTGACCAGTTTTATATACGTGTTTCCAGCTAGAAGAGCTGTGCCTATAGACGAGTGTACAACATCAGGTACTTAAACCACAGTTTTCATAAAGACAAGTAATTCTGTTTTACACTCAATGTATTTGGGGTTTGACCAATACATTTCCACTGAAAATTGAAATTTCATGTGGAAAATAATTTTAAGAACAAAACTAGTGGCAGTATTGTTCACATTGTTCACATTTTTCATTTGAAAATGTGATCAGTGATACATTTTGAATTCCTTAGAATTTGCTTCCATTTCAGAGCCCTTGGTATATAGTACGGTTATAAGTATTTTTACTGCCTTTCGTCATTAAATGAATGAATTATCAGATCCTGAGCTTTATTCTACCTTCTCCTATACCTTCAGACCCCTTCCCTAGGGTTCATTTTCCAGCAAATTTCAGTGTAAGATTTTTCTTTGCTCTGGTAATCTTGCTGAGAAACTCAAAATTTAGAGCTGCAGTCAGGCTTCTCTGTAAGAAGCAATAGTTACTAGGACTTGGTCTGACTTTTTGGACATCGCTTCGGTTCTTGTTGCGAACAAGCTTTTGTCATGACCTTTTCTTTTGAGGCAGGCAGGCAGGGAGAACAGGGGCAGCAAGGGACGGACGATACAGGTACAGGACGACGCTGCGCTTGCCTCTCAATCAGCTGGAGTGCTTGAATGTCTATGCTCCACCAGTGAAAAGTTGGAAAATAGTATTTATACTTTCTTAGCTCAAAAGATGTTCTAGTGGTAATATGTTTCAACACTGACTCAAAGGCAGATTTTAAAAAAAGGAGTTTCCCTGGGAACAAGACCTTGTATAACCTCGACAGAGGAGGATGGCAGGCTGAGGGCTCTGGAGCACAGTTTTGCTTCTACGCTTTCTGCAGAAATATAGTGCTTTGTGACCTGGACCATTGTCAGGGTCTTACCATGATAGCGATCTCTTTTCAGCTTTTTGAGGAGAGTTTTGGGGTTGTACCGAGGTGACGCAGGCCAGAATAGAGCTCAGCGGGATGAAGACTTGTGAATACAAGACTCTTAATTTTAAAGAGTTCATCTCCATGACATTTTGTTGTGGTTGTGTAACTTTTCCCTTAGTTTTCCCTTTTCTTTCCCAATAAGGGTAAGTTGCAAACCAAGTTCCAGATTGTAGTTACTTTATTTTCATTAGCCCAGCTAAAGTAAATGCTTACAGTTAGAAACATGCAGCTTAAATTAAAGACCATGGGCAGTTCTTTTTTATTACATAGCAGTCAGCTCACAGGCAGCAAGGTTGTCCTGTGTCCTGCTGGAAGTGGTCTGGTTTTATACCGCCTGCGCCTCCCTGGACCACTCTCTGGGTTCAGAAAATGGATAGCTCCTTGTATTTTTATTCCTGCTGCAGAAAGTTTCAATTAAAAAGATGATTTGCTCAAGAGTCCAGTTTGCCTTTCTTCTTGAATATATTCCTGTGCATTCTAAAATCAATAGAGCTTGGATAACAAACTTGAACAACAGGTTGTTTTTAAGGTGTGTGAACAGGGAGATCTGAAGAAACATATTTAATATGGTTTATGGTGATATGATTTTGCATCTATGTCTCCTATTCACCTCTATTCCAAGCATGAACCTGCAACAAAATTAAATAGCAGGCAACAAAGCTAGTAATAATGATAAAGCTTCAAAATAGATGTTGTTGCTTGCGAAAAAGCAGTTGAGTGAGTTGGATGAAATGGCAGTGTAATTATACAGTAGCAAGTCAAAATTTGATAGCTTGGAGCTTATCATTGCACAGCATGCCACTCTACCCCCAACCCGTGGTATGGCACGTTTCTTTATCAACACTCCATTTCTAGTCGTTCACCTTTAAATAATCTTATCAAATCTTAAGTTTGTTCCTCCTAGTGAGTGTGGAAGGAAATTCAAAAAGTAATTAAAATCAGCAGACCAAAAACAGTTTAACAAAAATATCCCCGAAAGTAAAATTCTGGGTAGTTAGATTGAATGTTGTGAATTCCCAGCTCTGTAGAATTCTTTATTTTACCAACACTTCTAGGACTAGTTTCAAATTTGTGATGATAAAGGGTAACAGTGTACAAAACTCCTATGTAAAGAGTGCCAGTGCCCTAACTGACCCAGAACTGAGGACTGCCTGGTGTGTGCACGTACATATGGCACTAGTTCCACTGTTGCAATAGTTTCATTATGTGGAAGATGCAGCATAATGAAATGGCTTAAGCTTTATAATATATACATTTTAATTTACTAGTACACTTTTAAATAGCTCACTAAAAATTGCTTCCTTTGGTAGTCAGAGTCTCTTATCTGATACCTGCTTCCTTCACCTCCATGGACGCTTCCTGTTTTCCATCTCAGTCCCCACATCCCCCCATGTATTTCCATGTGCATTTTCCTGTTGTCATGCATTCTGCTGCAGCTGCTCCTCGGATGCCTCCACCAAGGAAAGGCTCCTAAGCCAAGCCTGCCCCTACGCAGCTCCACAATGAACACTTTGCAGGCTCCTACCCTCACCCCTTGAGGAAGGAGGCAGCAGCATTTACATCTCTGGGCATGCTAACCTGACTTACCTCGGCCCCTGTGCTTTTTGTGTTGTGCAAGTGGAGCAAGAAAACAAACAGGAAAGTGATATGAGTCAGGTCCGTGATAGTACATAGTTAAATCACATCTGTGCTTTCATGTATGATTCAGTTACCCTCTCCCTGATGGCTCTTTCTAGGGAAATTAAATGTGGAATGATAATTGGGAAAAAACTATTTAAGGAAGGATCCTACCTATTACATGTGGAGTTGCATCTGTAACGTTTCAGTAGAGTTTGGCTGTAAAACAGAAAACCAGAGAGACTCTGTTTGTACAGGACTGTCAAATACATCTGAATTCATGAGTATTTCCAGCCCTCCTTTCTACTGCTTTATAAGAGAAACACAACTGCATTTATTTTAATAACCTCTTTTCAAACAACAGCATAACTGAGGTAGAGTATTACAAAATACTTTTTTAAAACGTGAAAGTGCACGTGAGATGTAGTTACGTGGTCAGCATTTTCTTACAGATTTTTTTTACTGGAGAGTGTTTCTCTTCATTGTTTCTTCTCCTACTGCAGGAGATGGATGTGGGCACACAGTGATGTACCAAGACAGCGGGACCCTGGCATCCAAGAACTATCCTGGGACATACCCAAATTACACTCTTTGTGAAAAGAAAATCCAAGTGCCTCCAGGAAAACGCCTGATCTTAAAAATTGGAGACCTGGATATCGAATCACAGAAATGCGAATCCAGCTACCTTACCATCCAGAGTTCTTCGACATCGCATGGTATGTAAAAGATAAGGAAATGGTCGATGCATGAATTGGTAAAATTGTATAAAACTCAGCTCGGCAAAATGCAAGAAATGTCAGCCTTTGTCCTTTCCTCCTCCTTTTCATTTTTAGTGAGGGAATTTTTCACTCTGAGAGTGGTGAGGCACTGGGACATGTTGCCCAGAGAAGTTGTGGATTCCCCATCCCTGGAAGTGTTCAAGGCTGGATGGGGCTTTGAGCAACCTGGTCTGGGACGAGATGATCTTTAAGGTCCCTTCCAAACTAAGCCATTTGATGATTCTATATTCAAGTGTGTTGCCATGTTTTGTTCTTCCAAGATTGGGGGTGGGTGGGTGATGCTGGGGCCAGGAGGGCTCTGGCACATCCACCCTGGGGTTCTACCCACCCTCAGCCCTGCAGAGCTGTGCTGTCACAGCTTCAGTACAGCAAGTACTGTATCAGCCCTGTACCCTTCTGGGCTAGGGAAAGAGCTGGCTCACTAACCAGACAGAAACAAGATTAGAAATTGGACTCCACGATCCTGCATGTCTCTATTTCTTAGGCAGTTCAGGCCTGGGAGAGGAGATAACCTTCATTATTGGTAGTTATTAGTCACTGATAACCTTTGCTAATACACAGGTTTTAATGCTTGCAGACATTAAATGCATGCAGCCAGTCTGCACTCCTGCAAGAGATTTGCACAGGAAGGTAAGTGAGTAAATACGCTATAGCTGTGCACTTAGAACAACCATAATGACAACAGGATCCTCCCCAGGGAGAACCTGAGGTCTTCCTCAAATCAGTTTTCCCAACCAATTGTTGCTGGAACTTTTGATCTGTTTTTTCTAGAAGAGTCAAACTGATTTTCAAGTCAGTGTGCCCTTTTTCAGAAGACTGATTTAAATTCAGGTCTGCAAGGAGTTCCACAATGCAGGAATAAACTCGTGAATCCACAGTTCATAGAATTTTGCTTGCTGGGAGTGGGCTGTAGCCCTTAGTCATCTGAGTCTGGATGTGCTGTACTGGACTTTACAGGCAGAATGGATTTAGTGGAAAATGATGCTGAAGCTACACAGAGCCTTTGCAGGTTTTCCAGGTCACCCAGCTCGTTGCTCGGCTCAGTGAAGTCTGTGGTTCTCCTAAGATGAGGACTCATAAGGTATCTCAGTAGTGAGGAGGGATGATTGCCTTTCATTCATGAGCATGATAGGCCCATCACTCATCTGGTAAGGGAAGATCAAGAGAGGTATTAAAGCCGTGCTGGCAAATGAAGGTAAAGGTAATTATTGTTCTCATGAGGGAGGTAGTACATTTTGAAACAGCCTTCGCCAAGAGTGGGCAGTGACATGTTGATATCTAAGCCTTGTGTAGAGCCTGATTTGAAGCATAAGGAATGTTTCTGTTCATGTGTCCTGGGGTTTTTTTATGGTGTTTACCTTATTTCAGAGCTGCAAGCAATGAGTTGTGTTCACCTGAAGCAGTCTGTCTGTACCTGGCACTAAGAGATAGGTGTTTAGTATTGCATTATCATATCTTTGAATAATTTTTATTGATGCTGTCTTGACATTTCTAATCAAAGGCTTTTCTGGTAAACAGGGATAAATCAATATATTATTTTCTGAAGTGAAAAATGAAGCTTGGATGTGTGAAATTCTGGCTACTTACACATTAGCCTGAAGACATCTTCACATAGTTCAGCCCTGCACTTATCCAGCCGGTAAACACAGAATTCCTGTGTGTTGTGCAATCAAATCCATATAATGAATTTCTTTAAAGTATTCCCACACCCATTTTCAGACCTGATTGGTAATGGCTGATGCATGTGGATTATAATTTGCATTCTCAGTAACGAACTGCACAATTAGCAGATTTTGCTCTTATCTGATTAAACAAGTTTTATAGTTTAGGCATACATACCATCTGTAATGGTTTTTGTGGTCTGCAGCTGGCTGTAGACTTTCCCCCTAGCATACCTACAGAGTCTCTGCTCTACACTCAGGTAAATCCTTGCAGAATAGCAGCGTGGAAATAGTGCTATAACCATAAATCCATGATATTGCTTGTGTTTTAAAAGGCACAGGAAGTCATACATGACACCAGAGCCAAGTCTCTTGACTTAGCCAAGTCAAGCTAAGTCACTTGTTTCAATAGTTTTGCTATAGCTCTGTGCTATATATATTTACCTAAGCAAAAGAAGCTCTGAGTGAGCGCTGGTAAGTCCATTCAGTCTGTTAAGTGTCCTTTTAGGTAGCTGTTTCTGAGCCCAGATCTCTTCCCAATCCTCCCCTCTTCATGAACACCTACAGGCAGGTCAACATCTTCCCTTGGCCAAGACCTTTGCCATCAAAATTCTTTCAGAGGATGATGGAGAGCAGAAAAGATTTTGCAGGCATTGAAAACACCTGAGCAATTAATTCAAAACTAATCTTCACATGTTTTCTGTATTTGACCTGGGTTTAAGAAGGAAAACCTAAAAAAAACAAGTATGAAAGCTGGCAGTGTGAATATTACTCATGTTTCAAATTAGTCGAGCAGCCTTTGCTCTTTATTTAAGAGGTTTGCAATTATAAGACAATAAATCCAAAGGGAAATATGTTTTAAATACCATGCTGATCTCTTCAACTCTACAGAAAACAACAGAATGAATGTTGGTATGAGTACAAACGTCTATTGAGGAGTGTATCTGAAGCTTAGAAAATTGGTCAGAGGCAAAACACAAGATTATGTGCGTAAATATAAAATTAATATAAACAAGTCTTAAGATGACAAAGTACTGTTTTCCTTTCTGAATTCTCCCACATGTTGTCTTTACATTTAACTGTGATTCATTCATTGTTATAACCTTCTCTGGGATTCATGCAATACAGCAGGGAATAACTCAATTCTTGTTTGGGGTATTTATGTTCCACGCAGCAAGGGGAAGCTGTTATATACCAGTGAATGGATTAATTGATTTATGTTGGCCATAACATCATTTTCTTCACTTTTGTAAGTGGGTGACTACAGATTAGACCACTTGCATGTAAAGTGTTGGGTTTTTTTTTTTTTAAATTCAGGGCATTCCTCAAATTTTGTAGACTGATAGAAGAGTACTGTGAATCTAATTCCATCCTAGAGAAGCATGTAGCGTTGTTGTGTATGCCCATCTGCTGAAGCCTCCCTGCTCAGCTGGGACAGAGATGTGACACTATAGTTCTTCTCACCTTTGATACTTCTAAGCTTTGAAGAACCTGTGAAGGCAGACACTGCAAGTAGATTTCTCCAATATTACAATCAAAAGATGGTCATTAAATAATCTTAATGAAGCTCTAAAACTGGAGACATAAAGGGGCTGAACAGTGTATCTCTGGGTTATTGCTCTGCAGAATATTTTCTTCAGTGTTCACTGGAGGAAAGAACCTGTAGCAAACCTTTTCTTTCAAACTGTTAGGTTTGTATCCAGACTTAGATGTGAAAATATAAATCATCAGTCGGCAAAGGTAGTCTAACAGCAGTTTTGTTGAAACTGAGTCACCTTTGTCTGACAAACCTTTAAGTATTAACACAGTTTTGCACGTGTTGTCTCCAGGAGAAATAAATAGATGATCGTGTCCTGTTTCAAAGGCATAGCTTTGCACTGGATGAAAATACAGGGGATTTTGGTCCCACAGAAAGAATCTAGAATAAAAATTAATATGAAGTGTGATCTCACGGTGTAGACAAAGTGCAACCTTTGCTGAAATGCTTTTCTTCTCGAGTTAATTGCATTATCTGAGCATATTAAAAATACTGAGCTCTGAATAAGAGCTTCTGATTTTTTAATTAGTTAAAGGGATATGTGAAAACAAGATTAACTATGTGGGCCCTGTAGTTCTCTAGAAGAAAACTTGCACTACTTATGGTGTAACATAAACGTTTTAAAAGCTCAGGAGGAGCTGCTTTTAGTCAGCTTCTTTTCATGTCTTTATCAGATTTCTGTACCTCTTTTGACCCTTTTCTTTTTTTTCCTTTTTTTCCCCTCTCTTTTCTGAACTAATGGCTTAGTATTTTTTCCCTTAATTTTGTGAGACGATCATCAGTCTTGACTGGAGAGATAAAGAGATAAGTGCCTACTTACTTCTCCATTCACTTGCAGTCAGTAGGAGGTTGATGTGTTCCTCTGGGGTGGATGTCAGATCTGCTGAGTGACTAGTAATAATTTGGAGAGTTAGTGCTGTTAACTTCTTCTTGCATAATTTGAAGCCAGTAACTACAGTGAAATAGATAAAGAAATTACTGAAAATGTTTTCTCCTCCCCGCACCCAGTCACTGAGGGTTGTTAGGCAAGTGGGGCATTTACTGATGTGTAAGTGTCTGTTGGGTGCTGAGTCAGTGTGTGGACCTGTGTGTGTGTGCACATGTGTGTGTGCGGGAGAACCGAGAGCCTTGGGATGCCTCCAACCTGTCATTATGACTCGAGGGGATTCATCGAACCAGTCATTCCTTGTTATGTATTATAATAAGTGTCTTGCTTGAATAAAGGGTGTGTCCAGGTTTCTTTTTTGCCCCTCAAAGGAAACTTGTTATTACAGTATTGTTTCTGGTATTTCAGGAAATCGAGGGAAATGCCCAGACAAGTTCTTGCTGAAGATCAAGTTGAGTAGTTTCTTAACAGTCAAAGTTCTTCTAGCAGTTGGGTTTCGCCTGAGCGGTTACAGTATCCTGAGGTTTCAGCTTTGGAAAGATTTATGCAACAAAGAATGTCTGTGTTTGTTTTATCAAATGAACTCTTTTCTTCCCCTTAGCTGCATAAAGTGTATTGTGTATATTTCTGTGGTTTTTGTTAAACAGCTACAGTTCTTTACTAACAATTTCTAACTGTTGCTGTGCTTCTGTCTTTGGGTTTGGATAAAACCACAGCCATGTTACAAGTGGGGGATCTCACCTGAGGTCAAGTAGGCAGACCTACAGCCTGTGCAGGTGGTCCATACCATCCCTTTTTAAATTATAATTACTTCTCCGGCTTGACTCTACTTGGATGCCTTTTTTTTTCCTTT